AGGGGGGAGTCTCCCTCCGCAGCCGGTTGGCGTAGTTTTGGCACAATTCCGTTGTACAGACCGACATTAACAGCAGCCCTGTCTGTGCACACGGAGACCGACTCTGTCGTCCGGTGATCTAACCGCCTTCTGGAAAAGCTTCACAAGTACGTCGGTACGCAAATGCGCTTTGTGACACAAGTGACGGTACGCATTTCAGATTAAGCACATAACCTGTACTACAGCAAAAGTATTCTCCGTCGGGACTTCCTGCAACAACACCACGCCGTTATCTTGATTCTGATTGACCAGAAGACATTATCAAAGATGTTCTATTGAGAAGACGATCACTACGTTACAAAAGTTTTCAAAACCGTTTCTGATCTTCGGTATTTCCAGACAAGTGGTTACTGAAATCAATCTTACTAACTGCTGTCTGTGTAATTCTCGGCGCGAGTTGGCGGACTTTATTTTGCTTACTTTAACATCATTTTTCATGGTGGGGCTAAGCCATTTCTTGGTATGGGTGTAGCCTACCCCAGCCATACCCTGGCGCTGCCACTGGTGGGATGTATGGGGCCGGCCATTCTGCACGTGCGTTAAATGCGTTAAATATTTTAATGCAATTAATTAAAAAAATTAATTACCGCCGTTAACGCGATAATTTTGACAGCATTAATAAAAACACAAATCTGCCAAAACACATGCAAATGAAAAACATGTTAACCAACTTTACAACACATGCTCAGTATTTAGAAAACATTCACCAACTTGAGGAAACATGAGCAGCGTCTAAAAAACGCAACAAATAAAAACCGCTGCAAGATTCCAAAACACAATGGGAACCAGGGGACACTAAAAAGCGACGCACACAGCTGGGACCGGAGTGCTTGGTGATGCTCAGGAATGATATAAATACAAGATGGCCAAGTGTTTCTGTTGTTGGAAAGTTACAAAACATGTATGTTTTATCGGCTTATATTAACCATGTGATCGCATGATTCCTTTCAATACCATGGCCGACTTCCAACGTCAACAACTGCTCCGGTCCCAGCTGTGTGCGTCACTTTTTAGTGTCTCCCTGGTCTCCGTTGTGTTTTGAACTTATTGAAGCATATTTTTAATTGCATCGTTTCGTTTATGCAGTGCTTTTAGTAAAGGCTGCAAATGTGTTGTCAAGTTGGTGAAGACGTTTTTAATTTGCATGTGTTTTGGCACACTAGTGTTTTCATATTTGCACCGTTTTTTAAGCGGAAGTGTTTTGGCTCGCTGTAATGCGTTTGCACCTGACGGCCGCCCTACATTTGCCGTGTATCATTCCCTCTGTCTGGCTGTTCCTTACAACAAAAGCTCTTGTTACCCAATAAATCCTCATGGACTGAAAACGGTCCATGCTCATATGATTTGAACTGAAGAGATATTACACAGGAAGATAGAAAGAAAGAAAGAAAGACCACAGCTTGAGTTCACTGACTTTCTCTGCCAGCTCTGCAGCGTTAACATTGGGTTCGTAAGGAATGGGATCACCGAGGAAGGTCCTAAACTTCACAGGAAATCCTCCGTACACAGGAGCTGCAGGGAGGCGGAACCTCTCGTACAGCCAGCGGAAAAATCCTGAATGAAAAAAGAGAGATGAAAGATGTTTCACAACACTCTCCATACATCCAAAAAACATCTAAAAGCAACATGTGTGTAAGGAATGTCATGTGCTGTTTCTGTGTGTCCATCAGTGAGACCATCTTTTTGGGGGTGCTATCTTAACTTGACTTTCTTCTACACTTACTGAGTGTTCCCAGAGATCTGAAGCCTTCCCGCACATTCTGAGTAAACATTGGAATTATAGGCTGAAAGAAAGACAGACAGAGAGAGAGAGAGGATTAGAGAGGAGGGCTTCCTACACTGCAGAACTCTGACATGGATAAAAAGATGCTACAATAAGACGGAGCATCGACATTTGTTGAATTTGATAAATCTGTCATTGTTGAAACTGTAGCATTCTGGGTCGTTTTCTGACTAAATTAGTTGCACATCCACACATTTTAATCTGGCTTTAAGTGTGACAATTTTGAGACGGTACTATAGTCTCATTTAAGATGGGTGACGCTTCTTAAATTTGTGTGTGTGACCTACAGTGTTTTGTACGAGCCAAAACTTTATAATCTAATACCTAGTATTTAGTCCGCAACAATCAATTTTGATTGCTATTATTAAAAATGAAAGATTATCAAAAACATTTATAGAATTGAAAAGTAAATGTTCCTTTGTTGGCAATTTTCAGTTAAGTTGATAAGCAAATAAAATGTTGTATAATATATTAAAATGACAAACAATAAATAAATGGTGCAGGAAAGAGCCTTAAACCTGGAAAGGAGTTGGCATTTTACTATTCCCGTTGTTGTCCCGTTTGTCTCGAAGACAGCGCTTCTTGAACGTGTTTTTAGTTTCCTGAAATATTCATGAAACTAGGTCTGTGGTTAAACAAGAAAAAAAACGTTTGTCCTACAACATAAAATATGTCAGTAAATGCCCTGCAGGTGAATGTCTTAAGCTTCAATGTGTAATAAAAACAGTGGTTGCTGTGTCTAAATGAGACGACTAAATGTCATCACGCCGAACATTAGCCGCCTTTAGCTAAGCGGGGGTGAAGTGCGGCCATGTGACTGTGATGTAGATTGTTTATAGCCTAATGTTAGCTTTTTACTTCTGACTCCTGCATTAACCCTTAAAACACGTAACAGTGGTTCAACTATGTGGATATTATCCTGGTGAGCAAAATGTGTAAGCACCATATACTTCTGTTGCCATAAATCATACTTTCTTGAATCCTCAATGCTAACTTCCAGGTCGGCCTACGACAATATGTTTTTACTGCACCACTCTATATAGAGACACACTGTATGTAATGTCACATCACTTGACATTTAGAATATGAATGTATTTGGAAATGTTATGCCCTCCCTACTGAAACTAAGAGCAACGCACCACTTGGGAGTCGATGGCGACCTGTGCAAAGCCTCTGCGTTTGCCCCAGAAAAGGGGGTAGGTCTCGTCACTGAACAGAGCCTCCCGCACCCCCCCTGGAGAAATCCCCAGCAGGTGGCCATTCCTCAGAGCCCGCACACACTCCTCCTGAGGGCCGTGGATCACACTGAACACCTCCAGCAGTAACTTGAAACCTGGAGGAACAGGACAGGATGGATTCATTAGAATAGGAACTAGCCGAAGAGAAGGGAAAACATTTGAGATAAAGCTGGTATTTAAAAAACTTACATAAAAAACAATCCCAACTGTACCCTAAAGTATTCAATTTTAGTGTACAATATTTCATTTTATATTATTTTGTATTTAACTTATTCCTGTATTTCATATTGCACCAATATGGTTTTATACTATTTAAAGCTTGCACTATTTTAAATTTTTCTTGCACGTTGTATTTCTTAAGAGATGTAATGATATCAGTAGGAGCAGTACTTGTGAAGATTAGTACTGTATGCATTCATGTATGTGTGTATGTGTATGTGTATGTACGTGTGTGTGTGTGTGTGTGTGTGTGTGTGTGTGTGTGTGTACATGCGTGTGTACATGCGTGTGTGTGTGTGTGTGTGTGTGTGTGTGTGTGTGTGTGCGTGTGTGTGTGTGTGTGTGTGTGTGTGTGTGTGTGTGTGTGTGTGTGTGTGTAACCGTGTGAGTACCTGGGATCTTGAAGAGCAGGTGGTCAGCGACAGAGTGGCAGGGCCTTCCCTTCTGCAGGATAACTTTTGCCAGGAAGTAGTAGTAGTCGATGGGAATGGCTCCATGATAGTACACTATCAGCGCTGGGCCTTTGTCCGGAATCTTCTCCATCCCATGGATCTCATAACCTGGAGCACAGGACAGAGTACATGAGGAACACATTTTATTTCATGAAAGGGAAGTGCTGGGGCTCTGACAGTTCAATACTTATCTAAATCTAAAATCTAAATGTACAGTAGGCAAATCAAAAAACATATTCACCAATTTGAAATCACATGTATATGATTTAGAGTACAGGGCTGTATATGGTCAGTGTATGTTTTTGGTCTTTGGATTTTCTTTTAAGAAAAGGATGTTCAAAAAATAAATACTAGTGGATATTTCATTTTCGTTTTAAAATAATAATAAAAAAATGTTTTGGAAATACAAGGCGTTTTTCTTTATCATGGTCAAAAAGAGATTTACTAAACTTAAAAAACAGGATGATTTAAATTTTTCTAATTCTCAAAAAAAACAAAAACACTAGTAAACAGAAACAAAAAAAACCCTGTTTTGTCATATTCTGCTACCGGAAGATGTCTGACAAGTTGTCTGACAAAATAAGAGCGCAGATGAGGAGGGTCCAGTGTCGGCCGTGATTCGGGGTTCCGTTGTCAAATCAGCCCGCGCCTAAAACATGATATTTAAATGTCCGGTATCACTCCGGACATTTTTGTCCAAATGTAATTGTTCACGTTTCATTTGCCAATAACTTTGGTTGTGTTACTGCAAATGGCATGATTTTGTAACGAGGCTATTTTCACCATATACTTTGGAATTCCAATAAAACGTTTTTTAATGGGTCTATAATTATCTGTGTAATAGAAGGTTCTCCCATCTCCACAGAGGAACACTGGAGCTCTGTCAGAGTGACCATCAGGTTCTTGGTCAACGCTCTGACTAAGGTCCTTCTCCCCCGATGTTCAGTTTGGTTTGGGCAGCAAGCTCTAGGAAGAGCCCTGGTGGTTTCAAACATTTCCATCTGCAAATAATGGAGACCACTGCAGTGTTTCCCCTAGGATGGAGTCATAGCAGCGGTGCTAAGGCACGCGGGCCTAGCAAAATGTGAGCGTGGAGCGAGTGGAATTTTTGTGTGTGTGTGCGTGCGAAGTGCGCCCCGCCAATATGCGCCGCTGCTGAATGTATATAGGAGAAACACTGCACTGTGCTCGTTGGGACGGTCAATGCTGCAGACATTTTTCTGTACCCTTCCCCAGATCTGTGCCTTGATACAATCCTGTCTCTGAGGTCTACAGACAATTCCTTGGACCTCATGACTTGGTTTGTGCTCTGATATGCACTGTCAACTGTGGGACCTCATATAGACAGGTGTGTTCTTTTCTAAGTCATGTCCAATCAATTTAATTTACCACAGGTGGACTCCAATCAAGTTATAGAAACATTTCAAGAATGATCAGTGGAAACGGGATGTACTTGAGCTCAATTTTCAGTGTCAAAGCAAAGGGTGTGAATACTTATGTACATGTGATATTTCGTTTAATTATTCAATTCTTCAAAAACGTTTTCGCTTTGTCATTATGGAGTATTGTG